CATGTGCTACAAAGAGTGATGTGGACCTTGCCTTGAGAATATGTATATGTGAACAGGCTGACTATAAGAGCTCTAGGGTGGTTACTGTGCTGCTGAAGCACTTGTAGGCAGAGGATTTCTCTGCAGCATGGAAGTGTTACCCAGATGTTATTATCAGCTGCCTTGTAGTGACATGTGAGTGGGGATCCTCCTCAGGGGGTTGTGAGTTGGAACACTGAAGGGAGGACACTGAATATACTGTTGGTACAATGGTAACTTCCAGAGGGAACAGGAATATCATTATTCTTCCCAGTGTGCCCTGGGAGTTGGAGAGTAGAAAATTGGAGGATTTTAGTAGAGTTTAGGATCCTGTTAATTGATGTTATACTGCAGCTGAGGCGCCCTCACATCTCTTTTTCTCCCTTGCTCCTTTGTTGAGGACCATTATATGCATCATTAGAAGATTTTTTTGACCTGTAAGCGCAGCAGATGCGGTGACAGAGGCCTCCATACTGTGCTCGACCCATCCAAGCTCTCATTGATGTGTTCTCAGGGCTGTTCTCTTCTGCTCTGTTGTGCAATAACACATCAGAGCCTTCTGATGCTCTTGGCAGAGTCTGTGCTACATTCTGACTTGCCCAAGAGACAAGTCTTTTTTTCCCCTTTTCTCTACTTGGCCTACCTCCGTGCTCCTTTTACATTACATGTGATCCAAACAGTGAACACTGAGACACTAAATAGAACAAAAACTTTGTGTGAATCCCAAATGTGCTGGGGCTGAATATACTCTGATTTGAAACAAGGCTTACAGAGAGAGAAGGTAAGTCTGCTTGGGAGGAGGAATAGAGGAAGGAGGGATTGAAGGGCATCTGTCCATAACAGGAATTACCTCCTTCCTGGCTGAAGAGGAGATGCTGGCTGCCCACAGTCTTGTCAAAGAGGATTGGCGTGAAGAAGGGCAGCAAATAACTGAGCAGTCTGTTGCTCCTCAGCAGACAGACTGGCCACCAGAGCTGATAAGGGGAAGTGTCTGTCCTCAAAAGCAGCTGTGCGGCAGAGGAGCTAAGAGCCTCTTTCACTGCAGTCATTTCAATTTAAAAAGCAGGGAGGGTATCTGTAAAAGCTGGTGATGTCACTTTTCATCTTTTGGCTATGATAATCCTTGGGAGAAAAAAATTGCCTGAAAACCAACCTGTATGCTTTATACCACTTTCACATACAGCCAATCGTATGGCTTCATGTCCAATTTAAGTGTTCACTCAACATGCTTTTCTCCTTGGTTTTGAGGCTGTAAAAGTAGGTGTTCAAGGCCATGTTCTTGTCTTGTTGATTTAAGAAGCATAGCCAGTGAGGTCAGCTCATGTCACAAAATGAGGAGCTTGCATGCAAATGCTGATGGCTGCTACTTTAGTTTAGTTACAACCTCCTCCTTTTGTTGCTCAAAGAAGTTATAGTGACACTATTGTATTGTGAAATTATGGATGTTTCAAGACTTACTGTAGTGGGTGTATTGTGTCCTGGTAACAGATACCAAAGACGGGTATCTTTAGGAAAAAAATGCTTTAGAGGCTATTGCAAAAATGGTGAGGTTTTTCAGTTACTGTTGAAATAGATCTCATACCCAAACTATCCATCACTATTAAATCCTGGAGCACAAATTGGGATAATGTGGCTAAACCCAAGCAAGGGCCACAGTTCTGCCTGCCTGTGCAGCTGAGAGATTGAACTGCTCCTCCGTTGCGAAAAAACATGGATGATTTCCTGGCTGGTGTGAGAGGGCAGCCTGCAGATGGGATATGAGAGGCGAACAGTTGATTGCAGCAGGGAAAAAGTGACACATCTGGTTTGGCTTCAGGTTGCTCAGGAGTAGTAGCAGCAGTGCCCCTTGGAGCTCAGCGGCAGAGGGGCTTTCAGCCAGTTGGTCCTTTGCTCTAAAGGTTTATTTCATGCTTGTAATTGTCGCTGAAGGGCACTGGGCATGTGAAACTGGATCTAAAAGTTGTTAATCCTGAAAACTCCAGGGCATAGCTGTCCTCATTTTCAGTATGGGGTCTTGCTTTACAAGCAAACTACGGAGACACAGGTAGCCATAGATTTAAGAGTTCCTTTTCTGCAGTGTTCCTGTTCCTTAGAGCCACTTGAGCAGAGGCTGGTGCAGAATGTGCTGGTGTGGAAAAAGTTCAGTTGCTCTGTGAGCATTGATGTAGTTGTATATCGTAATTAGGAGCAGTGCAACTTTTTGGGGAATGTGTGATTTCCAAACAGTTGGATAAATTTGTCTTTGCAGTGCACGTAGTGACTGGAAACCTGGTGGATTAGCTCTTCTGACCAGCTCTGAGCCCAGCACTGAGTTTCTTCGTCGTGTGAAGCACGTCCCTCTCCTTCCTGATTCTTAGGGAAGGAACAGCATAGATCAGCAGTGAGTGGGCTAAGATGCAGTGCAATTCAGGTATAAAGATTGATTTCAAGCATTGGTAATCTCTTATCTTCTTTGTAACTGCAACAGGAAAATTAAACACGAGCAAATTCATCACAACGGCTGGAACAAACATAGGAGCTGTTGTTGAGGTAGAACAGAGCAACAGGTCTCCTTCAAGTGCTGTCACCAATATAGAGCAGTACAAGTGCTTCAGGGTGGTACCTGAGAAATACCGCAGTGGGCAGTTGTAGGGTACTGTCCTTGTCAGTCGGTGAGTGCTCATGCTCCAGACAAACGATGGTTATGCTCATTCTTTTAAAAGTAGTGTCTCCCCATCACGGGCTGCTTTAGAGTTCACCAGATGTTCAGTGGCTTCTCATCGTGCTGTGCAATCGCCCGCTGGCAAAGGCCTTTCGGCAGGGTTCTGGTGGGAGAGTGAGAGGTGATGGGACGAGCAAGAGGCTTCACACCACTTGTAGGAAATCCAGAGCTCTGCTACTCTGCTTTCAGAAGTCCCAACTGCAAGTAGTTGAACTGCTGGTCATGAGATGTGGCTATGTGGACTTGTGTGGCCAGGAAAGAAGTAAGACCAGGCTTGTAACTATTAAATAGAGAGATGGCCAATAAGCTGCTGTGATGGAGATGCAGGGCAGCTGTCTTCAGTCCAAGGCACTGACTGCAGGAGACTCTTTTTTGCTGTGGAGGCTTGGTTACCTTGGCAACCTGTTTTTAGCTGGATCTCTGCTCTGGTGGAGAGCCTATCTGTACCTGCTAATTCTTTGTTTTGAAATGACTGTTTTACAGAAAAAATATCTGACAGGAGTATTTCCAGAGCTGGATTATTGTGGAATCCTGGCTCTGCTTTTGGTCCCAGGAGTTTCAATCTGATGATGAGGTGATGATGGTATGGGGTGTTCTGTAGCTGAATTGAAAAGATATTAATATATCTGCTTCGTGAGGTGGGCTGCTGTCGTGGAAGGCAGAGGTGCTACTGCTATTGTCGAATCCTGGAATAGCTCTGAAAGATAGATCACTTGCATATCTGGAGTTTGCAGAGAACTTTGTTCATTCTGCTTTGCAGTTCATCAAGCCACCATCTGGTAGATGAAACTGAAGTAGCTTCTGTCTGCGATGAGTGAATAACCCACACTAGGGCTATAGGTTTCCCTTTTGGAGGGTATATAGAAACTTTTGATACTCCTGGTGACCTTTTAGTATTGGAAGGTAGTAACTGCAGGACTGTACTCAGAATCTGACGATTTTGTTTAATTCGAGGTCTTACTTCGCATCTGTGTTTTTACTGTAGGTTTTTTGGTTTTACCTTTTGTGAATACTTTGTAATCTTGAAGCGGGGGAGTGTGTGTGTGTGTGTGTGTAAATTTTGCCCTTACCTCGTTCCTGTTCCCTGTGCTTTGTTTCCTCCTATTTCATAGCCTGTACCTTTGGGCTGAGGTGAATTGCCTGGTCTGTATTCGCTATGGGGTTCTCCAAACTGGAGTTGGTTTTCGCGCAGGTTACTTGGTAGTGTGTAACACTTGTGTAACAGCGGGGGGAAGAACAGATTAACAAATTCTAGTTGTACCTGTAAGAAATTGGAGTAATGCTTGGCATTACTCTGTTAGATGTAGGTAATTAAGAACCTTCTTTTAAGAAGTCTGTGTAGCATTCCAGCTTGACTTTGCAGGCCGTCTAATTCGGATGTTTTAAGTCTTGAAATCTGTTGACTTCAGAGCAGAGAGTACGTTGAGAATCTGTTCTAGGCAGGCATCAGCTTTCAGTCCTGAGCAACTACAATGCAGAGGAAAATAGCTTTCTTTTCTTAAATTTTCAAGAACTAGAAAAAACAAGGTAAAGAACTTTCCATTTTATTCAAGTGTATGGAATACAATTGTTTATTGTAAAGTCTGATTAAAGCTCTTGTAGCGAACCTTTTTGTTAATTCCCCCTATCACTAACTGATTTTGGGTGGTTACAACAGGAGCTTTTGTTGTTTTCTTAAGACAAGTGTGAACCAGATCTGTAGTTTTTACTGCACAGCCCTAGATAACTGACACAATAAAGTACTATATTCTTCCTTGTACCGTTGCAGCAGCATTGACAGAGAGCTACAGAAAAGCTATGCCATGTTTTTTTTTGTTACTTTAACTGCATGTATCAACAAGAGTGACAGTTTGGGGCTGACTATGTGTATATCATGTTGGTGATGTATGAAGCAGAAACAAGACAGCTGGATTCTCCAACCCCAAAGCTCACTTCAGGATCTGGCAGATAAAAAAATCTCTCGTGAACTGACTAAGCTAACAAGAGACTTACCTTGAGCCTGAGCAGATTTGATTGGAAAGTCAGTGAAGGAGAATAAATGTGGGACAGTAAAATAGCTGTCACCTGTCCAGCATGGTATTTTAGCCACCAAAAAAAACCCCAAAACAAAAAAAAAAACTACCAAACCCCACATGTAAATTCGTATATTTCTGAGGAGTGAGCAGCTGGTCTTCAGGTTAGTTTATACTAGATAATGAAGATGCATCTGTATTTAAGTGACTTGTTGAAAATGGCTTTGCATTTAATTTTATTTTAAAAAATGCATATTATTTTCTCCTAGCTTTGATCAACTTGTTGAAGTTCCTCATGTCTAATGAGACTGTGTTGCTGGCCAAGCACAACATCTTCACCCTTGCTCTTATGGTAAGTACAGACAAAGCAAATCCTCTTGTTTTAGACAACTTAATCTTCAATGAATCTTAGGGAAGAATCCAGGATTTCTGGCCTGGTAAGGAGATATCAGAACAAGGCCACAAAGCAGAGGAATATCATTGTGGTTGGTTTAGATGTTTGGAAAAGGCAGTGCTTGGGCTCACTGTAGGGTCTGCTCATTGAAATAAACAAGTTTATGTGAGGAAAGGCTTAGTTTAATTTTCCAGATTTGGTAATGTTTTTTCTTGTTCTGTGGTCCTTTATGTACAAAATAATAGAAACCTGTTTTCCTGGCCCCAGATACAATAACATTTAAGCTTCTTGTCTGTCTCTTCTGTGGTATAAGGAAAAAAAATAGATAAAGCAATGATGTAATACTGTGTAATGCAACTGAGAGCTATTTCTTCAAAGGTTTTAGACATAGTTTGTATTGTTTCTGTTGCAGAATAGATTTTGTGTAAATATTCTTGTTGTAAATTCTTTTCACTTCCTTCTATAGGTTGTGAACCTGTTCAACATGTTCATCACTTACGGAGACACCTTTCTGCCCACTCCCAGCAGCTATGATGAGTTGTATTATGAAATCATTCGAATGCATCAGAATTTTGACAACCTTTATTCTATGGGTGAGTACCTCCTAACTGGTCAGGACTACTGTTGACTGGAAGTGAGGGTCGTGGTGGAGGGATGTTTGTGTCAGGTGTTTTCCATCTGCCTGCTACTGATGTGTGTCTTGGTGAGTGGACATGTTTTGTGTACTACGACATGTTTGGTAAATTAAGAATTGAGAGAGGGATAAACTTGTTAAAGGAATATTTTTTTTTCTTTTTTTAGTCAGAATTGCCATTGCCTCTCTAGCAGCCGCTTACTGTGGTTAGAAATACAAATTTGTTGGCACAACTGAGTATGTGGTATTTCATGTGTCTTTGTGTAGTTTGTATCTATTACATTTGATAGTTGCAAGTCAGAAGGTAGGTACGTGCTGTAGAACCAGCCAGCACAGAGAAACACTCGATGCAAACAAGAATTTGGAAAAAAATTTGAAAAACTTACAAGAGGCTTGCTGTGCTAGACAAATCGCATCTACTACACTCGTTGCCAAAACAAACCAAAGAAACAGCCGTCACAAACCTGCTTGCAATGACAAGCAAATCACTGGACTGAAGAATGTGCCTAGTGGCAAAACAGGAAGAAGCTGCCATCCTTCAGAGAGAGAGAGGTATGCTGGAATGCCACCAAGGGATACCCAGCAGGGAAAAGAGGAACAAAGGAGCACAAGGAATGCATGGAGGCATAATCAAGCAGTGTATACACAGGAGCCTGCAGCCAAGGGTAACTGGAGCAGCACTGGTGTAGTGCCTGCATGCTTGAAACTGTGAAGAAAAAGAATATAGCTGTGTTCTTTGTTTGCTTTGGTGTAGAAGGACCTTTCTGTCCTTCACCTTCTGCTCCCTTCTCAGCATAATCACCCAATGAACAACAGGAGTTAATATAAGCATATGAGGAAAGTTAAAGGGCAGTGGGAGACAAACAGTTGACCACAGCACTCTTCTGACGTGGGAGAGAACCATCCTCACCTAAATAAAAGTAGCCAAATACTCCCTGCAACTGCAAGCAAAAACGAACTGCCCTTTTGTACAAACTTCCTACAGTTTTTATCCAATATGTAATAAGGATCACTTGGCCATTTTTGTGCCCTTTGGGCACATAAGATTTTTTGCTAACCCATTTCCTGCCCCCAAGAATTGCAGCTATAGTAAGATGAAGTGCTCTTACTAGCCAGTAATTTTTCAAACCCATCCGCTGTGGAAGGTGAAGGAAAGTGGAATGGAAGAATAACGCACTCAAATGCTTACTCAGTTGGGCTGCAATAGGCACATCTGACTTGTTGAAAGAATTAATTTGTCACATGCATGTTTTCCATCCTGCTGCAGAGCAAACACCTTTGAATTAATGTTGTAGAAACCTGAATGGAAGCTCTCTCTGAATACGTTACTTCAGATATTCAAGTACAGTACCTATTGTTTGACAAAATAACGTTACTCAGAGCTGGCATCTTTTTTTCTGCAGATGACATGTAATGGTAGAACTGGGAAGCAAGAAGGCAGCACTGTCCAAAGCTGATGAAAGCCACAGTTTAGGCCGGTGTCCTGACAGCTTCTTTTGGCTTGTCAGTCCATTTGGGACTACAGTCACCCTTATGTCCCCTAGCCTTGGGACATTTGTCAGCACAGATGAGAAAGCTACTTTATCCTTTAGTTACACTATTAAAGCGGTTGAAACTTTCTATGTTGGGAGTGGAGGTGGAATCTAGTTACCGTGGTTTTTATTTATTTCTCCGGTCCTGAATCTGAACTTTATCCAGATTTTCAGGACTGAAAGCTTCTCTCATGCAATAATAGGCCTTGAGTATGCAGCCACTGTGCTTATGGATTCACTTGTAGCATCCGTGTTTCTAGGTGATCCTAAATGGTGTGCTGTTCCTTCACTCCTAAGGTGAAGGTGAACCTTCCATGTGGAATGTAAACCCCAGAAAACCCTGTATATACAAATTCATAGAAAATTCCCTCCTTTTGAGGCAATATGGAAAATTAATTTAAAAATGTGCTACAGGATCTGTTACTGTTTTGGTACTTACCAAGAGATGTGCGGGTAACTGCCACCATAGATCAAAATCTGTAGTGTTTCTCAATAAATACTTTGGGTGCTCTGGCAGAAAAGAATTGGATTCCCTGGAAGTTCTTCCTGTTGCATAATGTTTTCAGATCTGCTCCCAAGTCTGTCAGAGACCATCTATGCAACAGAACAATGCCTGTGTTTCTACAGGAAGTGTTTTTTCTCTAGACTGGTGTGCAATCCCTATCTGCAATTCCAGATAAACAGGGATGTAAAGAATCCATCGCTGCTGGGTTGGGTTTAAATCACAGGATGTAGTCCAGCTCAGATGGAGCCTTGCTTAAATAGGAGCTGGAGGAGAACAGCAGAATGAAGGGTATCATAGACCTGGGATGCTGTCCTGTTTCTGGGGGAAATGAACTTTAATATGTGGTGATGAAAGCAGTTAGGAGGACCTAGGCTCTTCTATCCCCTCTCCTTCCTGTCTCCCAGTCATTATCTTGTTCTGCTCACCTCTGCTATGTTCCTTGTGTTTCTTAGATGGGCTTTGAAGGGAACTTCTGCCCTGGATCACAGATTGTCTCAAAGATAATATTTGTTTTGATGTGGTTCCTGGATGGTCATCTCACCAAAGCAGATTTTTTTTTTTTTAACATTTTGGATTAGAAAATTGCCATTTCTGTGCCAGGACTGTTAATTATCTTTTCCTTTCAGTTCTAAGGCTTTCTACCAACGCTGGTCAATGGAAAGAGCCTGCAAGCAAGGTGACCCATGCATTAGTCAATATTAGGTAAGGAGTAGAAGTTAATAACCATTTCAGAGATTCTTGTGTCCTGTGTGACTGCATTCTTATCGTGACACTTTCACATTTGTTGTATTGAGTTTGGTTTTGAATTTGTTCTCTTTGTTGGGCTAAATTGCTACTCTAAACAGGGCCTCCTGGGATAAAGAGAGGATCACCAGGGTTTGATTGTTGTCTTTCTAATAATTCTCTTGGCTCTTGTGTAGACTGAGTGCTTGCAAAGCATGGCACAAGCTGTAATGAATTAATCCTCACAGCATTCTTGGGAGAAGTTATACAGTAGGGAACAATGCTGTGTTGGCAGAGCAATTGTGGACCTAATGGATTTCTGTTGTGTGATTCTATTGCAATTCTATGAAGCTATGAAGGGGACTATAAGCCAGCTGTAATCAGCAGATTCAAGGTCTCTTTTAGCATTGCAAGATTTTTGTATGTGTTTAAAACCGATTTTTTAAGGACATTTCAGTATTATCTTAAACCTCTTCCTCCTGTTCAATGGTGGAGGTTATGTTCTACTTTGTAAGGCTAAGGAATATTTAGGGGTGCTTTTGTGCTGTATTCCTTCATGACAGCAATAATTTCTTTTCCTGGCTTCTGAAGCAGCTTGTACTGACCAAGCTGGGCACTGGGCAAGATGCTCGTGGTTCTGGTTGATTGGAAAATGGAAGAATGTTGAGAGAGAATTTACTGTTTATCTCCAGCTTGTAAACAAACCATAAAAGATGAGTATTTATACTGAAAAAATGTCTGTCCATCACTTCTCCAGTCACCCCAGACACTTGGTGTCTATGCAACACCAAGTAGCTCAGTAGTGCCACATTGCTAGTACTTATCATTTTCCTCACTACAAGAGATTGCGTAGGACAAACTCTCTGAGGGCATCTTTCAAGACAATATACATCTTACATATCTATAAACCACCTTAAAGGTTCCCTTAGTAAGTCTGTAAGCTTAATAACATCACATATGGTTCCAGAAGATTTATTTTGCTACTATCCTTATTTTTATTTTTTGTAAACAGACATAAATGAACACTTGTGGGCAGATAACGCACACGGAGTGAAGCAGCAGAACAGAATGTTGGCAAATTAATGTCATTTAATGTGACACGAAGTGTCTGCCCTGGGAATTCTCTGTTATACCTGGGGAGAGAAGTCTAAACTGGGAAGAGATAAAAAAAGCAAGCGGTTGCACAAACCCTCTGCGACCAAGATTTTGCATTGGCTCATTTCCTGTTGGCTTAACAGCTGCTTTTGTAAAGATCAACATGCAACTGAGACAAGATAAAACCAAAAAAATTGGCACTGTGATACTCCTCCCTGGACAGCCTATACCAGACCTATTCAGTGCATGGTGCTGTCTGGAACCAGTGAAACCTCTGACATGTTTCCCTTCTAGGCTTTCGGTAGCTTTCCCCTGCTCCACCCAACTGATCACGTATGTTGAAATTTCGTGTGGTTTTTCAGTAACTTTAGAAGTTTTCATGAATGACTTTCATGGCTTTTCACTCAGTGAAATTAGACAAGGCCTAAATTAGAGATGATTCAAGGCCTGGAGAGGGATTAGACTTCAGAGAAGTTAGTCTGTTTGACTTACCCCATTTCCTCTTAAAAAAAAAAAAGTGAGGGGGTGGGTATTTCATAGACTTGTTTATTTTCTTCTCATGGTAAAAGTATTACATTTGAAAGGTTCTTTAACTGTATAGATTTCAGAGCAGCCAGTTGTTGGATGCTGGAGAAATCCAAAAGTACTGTGCTTTTTTGAAGGTGGTTGAAACATCACACTGTCAAAGTGGTGACTGGAGTCCCAGTCACCTTTTTTTGCCTTTTTTTGAGAGAACAGGCTTTAGAAAGTTTCAAAAGAATTGTCTTTTGGATGGATGGATGAAGTAAAGGGCCTGTGGTAATTTAATACTCCTTTTTGGCCTAAAGACTGAATTTAGGTGTTTGCAAGTTGCAGATCATGCAGCAGAAGGATGATAGGATAATTTTTTCGAGGAATGCCTTGAGCCTTCCAAGGTCTGAAGCTTTCTGCAGTCTGTTGGGGAAGACCATTCTGTCCTGGTCTGTTGGCTGACCCACTTCTGCAGCAAAGTCTGTAGGAAGACCATTAATACTAGGGCCGTGTGTTTTCTTCTGGTGTTGGACCAGGAGTATAAACTGGAGCCTTGTGGCTCTGTGTTGCATAGAGTCATGGAGATGTTGTAAGCCCGAATTGCCAAAAAGAAACAGGGAGAGGGGATGTTTGAGGAGAATAAACCCTTTAGGGCTGTCAGGTTGACAGCTTTATTAGAGAAACACAGTATGTTAATGAATGACAATATTTTCATAAGATGTAATTATCTTATGCATTGATAAGAGCATGCTGGTTTGAACCTGGCTTAGCTCCCTATTATCTGGATTGCCTGTTTGTTTATGCCCCTTTGGTTTCCCCTTAGAGTGGTCTTAACATATGTTTTATTATTTGGATACTTTTGCCATGAAGGGAATGAGTTGAGAGAAAGCCACTTCGTGTTGGCTTTCTCCCTTGGCTTGTTTCATCATTCTGGAGATCTTTTATGAGCAATGATTACCTGTTTTTTTTGCTGTAGCAATGCAGTACGAAGTCACGCTTTGGTTTATATCTCCACCTTGTTACAACAACAAATAAATAATTAAAAATTGTCATTTCCTTATCCTAAGGCTTTTGGTGGGAAAGATTATAAATGTAAAATCATCTCTGTGTGTGCATGTATGTGCTGGGCTTTAAAAAGTGTCTTAAATCCTAGTGTACAATCTTACATGTATTTCTGCCAGGAGAGCAGTGGTGAGTTCTTTAGAACTTTTCAAGGCTGCAATGCATTTGTGTTACAGGGGTGACACGTAAAACTGTCCTGCTTGTACCCCACAGGGCTGGATTGGCAAGGTCATCTGATTAATTGCTTTAATACAGAGTCGGGATGAGTAATACCTAGAGAAGCTTGGACACATTTGAGTTTAAATTCAGCTGTGGAGGGAGATCCCACTTTGTGTATCCTATTATGGTATTAACTGTGCTTTTTAGTTGGACCCTATTCTCCAGTAGGCAGTCTGATTGCTTTTTGTTGTTGCTGATTATCTGATTTTTCTAGTCCTTACTCCAGTGAAGAAAGCAGTCATGAATGTGTTTTTGAGTACTGAGAGACGGGGAGGCTATTCCTACCTTCTCTCCATACCGCTGCTTTTTACAGACAATTCATAATTTCTGTCCAACCTAAAGAAAATGAAAATTTGAAGAAGACAGAATAATAATAGCCTTATCTGGATGAAATCTTACATACCATACTGGAATGAGTGATCCCTATTGCTGTGCTATCCCATAATAGTGATTATAACTTCTATCTGTGGATTTGTCTTTGTGGTTTGCATAAATAATTGAGACATGATGGACTGCAGGGTATAGCTGCTGTGCTGGTGGGGTTGAAATAAGAAGCTGCAGCAGTTAGTGGTGTGAAAACTCACCTTCTCACCTATGAGGAAATAAGCATATTTTGAGACAAGTAATTTTTTTTAGGCTAATGAGCCTCTTTAAGATAACATTGTGCAGGTTTGCATTTAATGAGAATTTTATTAACGCAGGGTTCAAAGGGGCATCTTCTGATTGCTTACTCAGTGAGGAAGGTGGCAGCTGAATCTCTATATTCTTTTAATAGACTTTCTCCTGATCAGGATTTTTTGAAGGTGAATAAATAGATTAACTCATTGATTAATAGACTGAATTTCTGCATTGTCTGAAATTCAGTCCCATCATCGTTTTTAAAGTAATTTTATTTTTCTCACTGAAGCACTTTTAACAACAGAGAGTAAATTTGTAGTATGGAACTAGGTGATAGGATTTTTTTTTTTTTAAAAGAGTATTTTATGTGCTGTTGTAGCATATGCTGCAATCCTCGCTTGGGTGCTTTCATTCACTGTTCCATCTTGCAGCTACTTTTGTTCCACGTGAGCCACCCGGTGTGATATTCTTTCTCTGTACAGGAGGTGCTGCTTCTCCTAATGCTGCTTATGGGGTTGTAAAGGAGAGATTGGGTATTTGGGAGGAACATTTAAAGCATGGCATGGATGTGTATGAAATGGTTACGCTTGCTGCCAGTCTGGGCAGGAGCACTCTGAAGGAACATTCACAGTTTTACTCAGGTGAAAGGTCAAATTGGGCTGTGCTTGTTTGTCATAGGATACCTGACATCCCTGCTCTGAAGCTATAGCTCATGTTAATTACCAGCACTCCACAGAACTGCACTTACTGAAAACCTTGACAGAGGAGGAGGTTCTGTTCAGATACTTCTTAGAAAGTGGGCAACTGCAAGCAGTCCACATAGTACCTTTGGCATTGTTCCACTTACTGCAAGGAATTTAGCATCTCTTCATGGGGAGAGAAGAGCTAAATGCTGCTGACTTAGTCACGTTGTAATGGATGGCTGTAGCGTTTATGCAGGATACGTGAAAGGGGACCTGCTGATGGGTAAGTGCTTCTGTATGGAGTGGAGGCCTATGGATTTACAGTCAGCTGAGACTGTACAAAATACATATTCTGTATATATATATGCACACACACCTTCCTCCTTCTCCCTCTCTGTACCAACATAATGGACACACATGCATGTTTCTTGCCAATATGAGTAAGAATGAAAAAGAAAGGGCAAGCTTAAAGTCCACTTATGAAAATAAATAGTCAAGAAAATCTATGTGCACATATAAAAATATGGATATCAGTGTGTATATTATATGTATATGCACATATACGAATGTATGTATCCATGTATGTATATATGGATATCAGTGTATATATAAACACATACTCATATATATTCACATACATGTATATACTTACGTATATATATTATATATAAAATGCACACACACAAACATTTTGCCTTTGACACTGGGCTCTTCTAAAGCCATAGTTTCCAAGCTGAAAAAACCAAGCCACTGGCTTGTTTCCAGCTTCTCCGAAATGAGCCACAAGGATGCTCAG